ATGTGCTGGTATCTTTTTTATAGAGTGAGTTCTTCTGGGTATATTCCCAGTAGGAGGATTGTAGGGTCATGTGAAAGGTCAATTTTTAGAACATTTAGGAATCACCACTCTGTTTTTCACAGAGGCTGTACTAGTTTACACTCCCACGAACAGTGTAGAAGTGTTCCGTTTTCACCAAATCCTCTCCAGCATCTGTTATTTTTTGAGTTATTGATGACGGCCATTCTGACTGGAGTTAGGTGGTATCTCAGTATAGTTTTTAATTTTCTTGAGTTGGAGTCTCACTCTGTCAGCCAGACTGGAGTGCAGTGGCACACTCTGGCCACCGCAGCCTCGACCTGCTGGGCTCTGGCGATCCTTCTGCCTCAGCCTTCCAAGTAGCAGGAACTACAGGTGTGCGCTACCACTCCCAGCTATTGCATTTTTCATTTATTGCAGAGATGAGGTCTCGCCAAGTTGGCCAGGTGTGTCTCGAACCCTCGGACTCAGGTAATCCACTCATCTCGGCCTCCAAAAGCGCGGGATTACAGGCTGAGCCACCAAGCCCGGCAGTAGTTTTAATATGCAATTCTTTGATGACTAGTGAGGCTGAGCATGTTTTCATGTATCTGTTGGCTGCTCGTATGTCTTCTTTTGAGAATTGTCCATTCATATCTTTGGCCTACTTTTTAATGGGGTTGTTTGTTTTTTTCTTTTCGCCACGTTTGAGTTCCTTGTAGATTCTAGATATTAGACCTTTGTCAGACATACAGTTGGCAAATATTTTTTCCCAACCCCCTGGACTGTCTTCCTGCTCTCTTGATGGTTTCTTTGGATTTGCAGATGCTTTTCAGTTTGATGAAGTCCCACTTGTTTATCTTCTCTCTTATGGCATAGGCACATGGAGTTTTGATCAGGAATTGGTTGCCAGTTCCAATTTCCATAAGGGTGTCTCCTGCATTTTCTAAGGTTCTTATAGTTTGAGGTTTTACCTTTAGGTCTTTGATCCATTTAGAGTTGATTTTTGTGTATGGTGATAGGTAGGAGTCTTGTTTTAATCTTCTGCACGTGGCCAGTGAGTTTTCGCTGCACCATTTACTGAATAGGTTCTCCTCTCTCCAGTGGTTGGAGGTGGAGGCTTTGTCAAAGAGGAGTTGATTAAGAAATTGAAGTTTTGCTTCTGGAATCTCTATCCTGTTCCATTGGTCTATATGCCTGTTCTTGTACCAGTACCAGGCTGTTTTGATTGTTGTAGCTTTGTGATAAAGTTTAAAGTCTGGGAGTGTAATATCTCCCGCTTTGTTTTTTGCTTTGTTTTGTTTTGCTGATGATTGTTTTGGCTATTCGAGGTCATTTAATGTTTTCATAGGAATTCCTGTATTGTCATTTCCAGTTCTGAGGAGAATGCAGCTGGTAAGTTAATGGGTATTGCGTTAAATCTGTAAATTGCCTTGGGCTGAGGACATCTGTTTTGTAGTTCAAGTCCTCTTCACCACTCTCTGTCTCTTCCAATATATCCACACACTGTCACATTTTTCTTCTTGTTTTCTGTCTCCCATTTTGCCTGGTCTCCTGGGGAATGTGTTTCCTTTCCTTGTACATCTCTGCTGGTAATCCTCTGCTTCCCTTCTTTTTTCCTTTGGGAGCTGCAATAATGCAATGTTATTTTGGGAAATAAGCCTAGCAAAGTCTCATCTTCCATGCTGAGTCACCTACTGGTTCTGGGAGGGGAAGCTTTGTCCTTGGGATGCTTTCTGGTCTTTTTCCTCCCTTAGTCTTTTTCTTCCCCCAACACACCTTTCCCTGCCCACCTTGCTTTCTGTTCTCCTTTTATTCAGAGTTTCCATGTGCATTCTATTCATGTGGGAGTGGAAGAGATGTTAAAGCTACCCAGAATTCTGTTTTTGTTTTACATTTTGTGGTTCCTTCCCTTTCCTCCTCCTTCCAATTGTAAAAAGTTCCATGTAACCCTCATTAAATTGGTTATAAAACCACTCTCAAGAGCTGTGGTGTCAGAAAAATAAAATACATTGTTTCTTTAAAAAAAAAGAGTGAACCCCAAAAAGGAAGTGAAGGGAAGGGGCTGACAACTAGCCCTTGAGCTATTGTGTGTGACTATCTACTCTGTGTAAAAGACTGTATGGAAAATATTCCTACTGTGTGCCAGACAGTACTCAAAGCACACCTACTGTGCTCCTGTGCCTGGTACTTACTCTACATAAATCCTGTCTACTATGTGCCGTGCCCTCTACATATAGCATGCCTATCGTGTACTGGATTATCCATTGAAAATCTTCCTTCTGTGTTCTTGGTGCTCTGCATAGAGGTAACTTACTTTGTAAAGAGCACTTGATATATAGTGGACCTATCTGTACCAGGTGCCTTATACATAACGTGTCTACTGAGTGTCAGATGTGCTACATAGAGTATTCTTACTATGTGCCTGATGACCTACATAAAGTGCATCTACTGTGTGCCACAACTCTATATAATGCACACCTACTGTGTGATAGATGCTGTACATAAAAGGTTCCTTCTGTGTGTTCTACCTAAAGAAAACCTACTCTGTGCAAAGTACCTTGCATAAAGCATGCCTACTATGTACCAAGTACTCTCCACAATGAGCACTTACAGTGTGCCAGGAACTCTCTGTAAATTGTACCTGCTTACCTGAATCACAATGGACAAACCTTTCCTACTATCCTCCCCTCAGCTCTCTGGACCAGAGCTCTGGGACTTATTGGAGAGACCCACATGACAGCATCCTGAAGAGTGAAGATACCCACTTAACAGATGAGCAAACTGAGGTTCAGAGATGCCTCTAGTCTAAGTTGCAGGGCTCACAGGAACCCAAGTGTTTTAGACCCTCAAGTCCAAGCCCTTTCCCTCTGTCATATTAAAACATGGACATTTGAAATGGTTTACTTCTCACCACTTCCCTTCCCAGGATGGATCCTCCTCTTTGGTGCACACCTTTTGCTGCCTGTGGCTGGCTGGAGGAGGGAGGGGGAAGATAGAGCATCTGGAATTAGGTACCCAGCACCCACATGTCCCTCCTGAGTTTGTGCACTGGGGAGACACCCTCTGGGTTCATGATGATCCCAGAGAGATGTGAGGTTCACCCTCTGGTCTCAAGGAGCCATCTGCTGCTCCATGGTGGGCACCCCAATGCATTTCTCTGCCCAAGCTTTAGGACGATGTAAGAGTGTCAGTGCAGCCTCCTCCAATGCCTCTCTGACTCTTTCCCACACAGGGTTCCTACCGTAGCATCTGCTGCCAGTGCCAACCCAGCCGCCTCTTGTGGAAGCCCCGACCACCACGGCTGGAGCTATAATCTCTAAAACTAGAGCGATGATCTCCAAAGTTTGAACCACAGCTGGAACTACAGACTCCAAAAAAGCCTCTGCAACCTGTGGTTCTAGTGGGTGGAGGTTGGAGTAGGTAGAGGAGCAGGTGGAGAGCGATGTGTCTGGGTGTGGAGCCCCTTGTACCAGGGGACTCGATATCCCTGTCCCGGATCAGGTTAAATGTGCATTGACTCCTTGGGTCGTGTCTCTTACAGCAGTGTCACTGAGTGTGAGCGTGAGAGCGTGAGTGTGTTCTGGTCCCCTGCTCCTTCCTTCTACGACTCCTTTCTCCTGGTGTCCATTTGGCCTCTTCCCAGTGTTTGGGTCATTATTCATTGAAACAGTGTAATTTGGAGACTGTTCTGTGGTGAGTGGCATTGGCTCATGTTGAATGTGGAACCTGCATTACATTCCCGCGATGAATGTCACAAGGTCATGGTGTGCACAGATGTTCATGTGTGGTACACATGTGTGTACACTCATGGGCACATGTCTCTGTCTCTGTGTGGGGCATGGCAGTGGACCTAGGACATTCAGAGCAATTCTAGAAAAGGAGTGAGGGCCCACCATGCCTGACTTCCAGACCTATGCTAAGTGTCCAGACACCCAGACAGTCTGGTGTTGGTAGCAGGATAGACTCTTAGGTCAACAGGACAGAAGAAGGAGTCTAGAATGCACCCTCACAAACATCCAGTTGATCGTGAACAGAATGTGATGCGCATTTCACAGAGAAAGAACCATCTTAGCCAAAAATGGCACTAGAAGTACTGAACACATATGTGTAAAAACTTTAATCCATCCATGCCATCATAGACAATCATTTATTCAAAATTTATTATAAAACCAAACGGTTCCAAATTGTGTAAGAAAAAAAGAATCCCCTCTGGGACTAAGATATGTGCTCTGTGAGATGAGTGCTGTTTCTTAGGTCAGAACACAGGGTGTTCTGAAGCAGGCAAAGGGCTTCCCCTTTCTTTTCAGGGCCTCCAGGAGTCTAAGACTCCTTATTGATTTTGAGTTTTTTGTTCTTTTTTATTATCTTAAAGAAGAGGGTTACAAGTCAGTATTGGGAATATAAATATAAATAGTTTGGGTACAGGTGAAGTTTGGGGCCTTCCATTGGACCTCACTTCACCTCGATTAGGAACAGGCACCCTTTTTGATGTCATTTACCACCACCTCCACGTCCTCCACTCCCCATCTTCTGGCAGTTTTCCACTACTGCCAAGGCCCAGGAGCTGACTCCTGAGCTCCTGGGCCAACTCATTGCCTCACGCAAATGGGGGGTGGGAGGCAGGTACCACCCTGCGGGCAGGGTGTCTCTGGCCCTGCCTCTGGATGATGGTGGTGGGGGCGTCTGGTGTGGGCGACCCGCTGGGGTGGCAGGGCTGGGCCTGTTCCATGGTCTTAGGAGTATCCAACGCATATGTGGAGGGTGCTCGGACCCAGCAGCTCTGTTCTATGTGCAAACCACGGCCCCCCACGTCCAGGTGGGTGGGGAGTTTTGACATGGAGTTCCATTCGAGGAAACTCCAAACCTGTCCTGAGCCCCTGGGGTTCCCAATGAATGGGCTGCTGCCCTGGACTTTCCAGAGGGCACTTTGTACTTCTGCCTCAATCTCAGGAGAGCCTGGCCATGTAAGGGTGGTGAGGACCAGGCTCTGGTTGTGCTACCCTGGTGGGCTACTGGGGCTGGGCTCGTTGGCTGGGAAGATCAGTCCATCCCCCCTATTGTGGGCGGTCTGCAGAAGCCTTGGTTCTGGGGGTGCACGCTCAGGTGTAGCTGAAAGTAAAGTGGACGTGGTCAGTTTCTCCACAGGGCTCATATGGCCCCAGCAGGACCAGGACCCCCAGTCCTTGGATCCTGGGGGCCTCGGTGTCCCTATGTGAACCCCTGGTGTGACACAAAGGACACCCCGACTGACTACTGATTCCAGAGCAAGGGCTATGTGCAGTTCCAGGTGGAGGCACTGTTTCCCAAAACGGAAACCACCAGGGTTTCGACTGGCTTGAGGCTCCCTGCCTCAGTCTCACCCCAGGGTTGCTAGCCCTGTCTTCATCCCTGGCTCCAAACTCAGGAGGGAAGGCCTGAGCTTTCTCTCAACTCCTTGCTCATCACTTCATGCCTGGAGTGGACTGTCCCGTGTTCAGCTGAACTCTGGGTTCTGGCTGTGAGTCAGGGGTCTCGTCTGTGCCCTCTCCTCGAATCCTCTTGGGGTTTGAGAAAGGAATGGTCGGCACTATGTAGCTCCAGGCGGGTTGTCCTGCTGCCCTTGCAAAGATATTGGGATGAGGGCCTACTGGAGTGTGGCTGGCTTAGAGGGTCCCCCCCTGTAGTGTCCCTCAGAGACCTCAGAGGGCAGAAGCTGGAAAGCAAGAGGGAAACTGGGTGGGGTCATGCCCACATCCCTCAGGTCTTTGAGACATGCCCATTACTGGAGGGTGTCACCTGTCCTGGTGCCCACCTGGCCTGTTTCCAGAAGCTACTAGATAAAGGTGGAGAAGCAGTAGGATGGAGGCCCAGGGAAGAGGAAGGGGGTGTCTGGGCACCCCCCACTTTACAGCCCTGAGGGTAACTGGGGAGGGACCTGGTGTTGCAGCCCACCTGGTGGCGACAGGCTCCAGGGCTTTCTTTTCTTTTCTTTCATGGAGGCATGGAGCTGCCTCAGCACTGAGTCATCATCCCAGGCCCAGGCTCGGGTTAGCTTGTCCCCAAAAAACTCCCTCAGGTCGATCAAGGACAGCTGCAGGAGGTGCCCCAGGGATGGGGTAGCATCAGGCCTGGTGATTCTGAGAGGGTCAGTGCCTTTCTGGGCTTCTCCCACTGTACTTCTGTGGCCACCCCTGGGTCCAGCTGTGCAGGGAAGCCATGGCACCAGGGGCCCAGGCAGGGGAGTGTCACCACACTCCTCCTGTTGTTGGGGTTGTGTGTAGGTTGGCTCAGACTGGTCAGGTAGAAACCGAGGACTCTGCTCAGCCCCGCAGGCCTGGCCTGGCCTAGCCTGTCTTCCTTCCAGCTAGAGCACAGGGTACTGTAGAGAGTACGAGCTTCCCTCGGGAAGCTGGTGTCTGTCCTGCATGCTTTCCTGGGCACCCTCAGGCATACAGGGACTTACTTTTGTGGATCTTGAATGTCACAATGGATTTAGCAGTCAGTGCCTGCAGACCTCCTAACAGGAACACGTCCCAGAGTCTCAGAGTGAGCCTGAAGGGGGTCTGTGGGAACAGCAGGTATGGGAGAACCTGGCCCTTGCAGGCTGGGCGCCAGTGGCCTGAGCAGGGTGGCTTCTTCATGAGAAGAGCCCTCCACCAACTTGAGTCATACAAGCCATTGACACCTCCCATGGTGTCTGTCTTCATATAGGTGCGAAGTCTCCGGGCATAGAGCCCCTCTCCCTCTCGGACCATCACTCCATGCCAGGACTGGACTGTGCCTTGCTCAGCTGAACTCTGGTTTGGTCTCCTTTCAGCAGGGATGTAGATCTTGGAGAAAGAAGCTTCCCAAGGGCTCGGGGCTTCCCTGAGTTACCCTTGAAAAGGTCCTGCTCCATGTACCCTGCCTGGTGGGCTAAGTCTTGGCCTCTGCTATAGGATACCTTTTGTTGGTAGGACCTGTCTTTTCCCTGCAGGGCAGTGCATGTGCTTCCTGTGGGTGAGGAGAGCTGGGGAGGCACCTGGGAGTGGGAAAAACTAGGGGAGCTGGGCCTAGTGGGGCAGGATGTTTCCTGGTCAGGTGTCTCCCTGGGCCTCCTTGCCCCATCCACAAAGCATTTAAGGAACCAGGACATGGTTGCCATTCAGATGCAAAATCCTTTCTTGTCCTGATGGATAGAGCAGATGTGCTCAGTGCCCTTGGGCTGCATTGAAAGCCTTCTTGTTCCTGGCCCCGCAACAGACTCTTTCCCAAAGGGCAGAACTGAGCAATGTCCTGGGAACCCCAAACCTGCCCACGCCGGCACACTCATGGAAACACTTTTGTCAACCCTCCCCACAGGAAATCATCCCATTTTCAGGCCATTGTATCCTGCAAGGACATGGAAACCAAAGTGTGAACCCCTGGAGAACTTTCCGTGGTCCCTGGCCAGGCCTTAGCTGTGTCTTGTCTTCTCCTCAGCTCCATGAGGGGCTTTGGTAACCCCTCTCTCTGAACCTTGGGACCCAGGGTCACTGGGGAAGAGCTGAGGGGACCGTCCACTCATCACGTGCTTGACGACACTGAGGAAACACCTTCTCAAAAGTTCCAGCTACTTGGAATGCTGAGGCGAAAGGATTGCCGGAGCCCAGCAGGTCGAGGCTGCAGTGGCCGGGAGCAGCCACTGCACTCCAGTCTGGGTGACAGAGTGAGACTCCAACTCAAAAAAAAAACCAAACAACTTCCCCTTGGTGGTCAAGGAGACTCTGAACCCTGGGGCAGCTTTTTTTGTAGAAGCCTGAGAAAACCCCATCCCCCAGGACATCAGAGCCTTCTGGGGGAGTGAAGCTGTTAACTGGGAAAGCTGGCAGTGGCAGGGTCCCCAGACCCCGATGCCTCCACCCTCCCATCTGTGTAGCCCACCGTGTGGCCTCAGTCCTCAAAAGGTCAGGACCACCCCTGAGTCTGCCTGGACTTGCTGCCCAGGGTATCCTTGACTGAGGTTTCAGGAGGGCAGTGTCAAGGCCAGACTGAGGGCCAGGGGAGTGGAGACCAGGTTGGGAGCCTGGGGATGACAGGGTCATTTCCTGGATATGGGGTCAGGTCAGGGGACACAGGATGAGGAGACACTGCCATCTGGGCTTGTTCTGGCTGTGAGTGGGGCAGGTGGCTGAGAGGGTGACCAACTGGGAGGCAGAAGGACCAGCTGGAAGGTAAGGGTCACTTATTGAGGTCAGCCTGAGGCCATAGAGAGCAGTCTCGGAGAGGCTGTGATGCTCTGGGCCGTTTGGGATGAGAAGTGTGTGACTCAGGTTTGGGTGTCCAGTTCAGCCCTGAGCTCCTATGGGACTCTCAGCAAATGGCATCCTCCAGATTCCAAACCAGTTGGGGATGGATGGCACCCTCCAGGAAGTGTCATCAGCCCATCAGTGTGGCTGTTCCCTTTTTTGACTGGGGAAGGCCCCGGGGAGGCTGTCCACCTAGCGTGCATGGTGTGTCTGCCATTGCCAAGCAGATGAACAAGAGCCCAGAAGGCATCTTCTTGCTTCATTTAATTGAAGAGGATGGCCACAATGTGACTCATCCCCTTGCAGTTTCCCACCTCATGAGAGCCACACCATGTGAGTTATCAACCGAGAACGCTCAGGTCGCTTGGGAGAGCAAAAGTCACCGGAAAAGCTTATCACAGGCCTTGGGGGACTTGGGGTGCCATCACTGCCCCCATCTCCTTACGCTGTGCATCAGGACTGAGGGGGTCATGCACATGTCAGTTGACAAGGAGCCCCGAGAGACTCGCGCAGAACGCAAGCTCATGTGGAAGGAAGGGGCACAGGCGAGGACCATTGAGACGCCAGATGCCAAATGGGGAAGCGAAGTGCCAGGCTCAGGGCAGCATGCAGGAGTGGACTTCCTTGCGAACTGACTGTGTGTGCTGACTGCAACCCACTGTGTCCTGGGATGGCCACTGGCTAAGTCCAGACCAGTATAGGCAAGCTCTCCTGGTAGGCTCACATCAGGATCTGCACGGGATGTAGGATGGACTACCCCTCCGGTTGGAGATTCTTTTCAGCTGGAGACCTGAACCCCCCACATGTTCTGGCCTGTGTCCCGTTCTGCCCAGGGGAGGATGGGCCATACTCGAAAGATGTCTGGGTTTTACATCTTCACCTTCACCATGCCCAAAAGGGTGGACATCCCAGGTGTTGGAGGAGGAACCAGATGGTGATACAAGAGCCTCAAGATATTTCTCCTCTGGAACCTGTAATTCCAACATTGCAAATATCCATCAGTGAAATTCTGGGAAGATGACTGTGGGGGGTGGGGGAGGAATGGGCAAATTTGTGTGAGTGTGTGCCAGGATGAGTGAACATGTGTGTGGCATGCAAGTTTCTCTCAGAACGGGAACTTGGGGACAGGTTGCCACTGCTTTGAACCCCAGAGTTTCCCATGGGCAGGGGCCAGCGCCATCTTCTGGTACTAGCAGGGCCCTTCTCAGGAGGAAGCCACAGGGAGTGGTTGCCAATTGGCGACTAACCTCCCACCATTACTGCCTGGTATCCAGGGACTGTGGTATCTGACATGGAGGGAGCTGTCACATCCTCTCCCACACATGGATGGAGCCACAAACTCGAGAGACTGAGCAGCCAGTGGGGAGTCAGAAACCAGGAGCCCCAGGGCGAAGAGAGGTGGCTGGGTTGGCACTGGCAGCAGATGCTACGGTAGGAGCCCAGTGTGGGAAGGCGGCAGAGAGACACTGGAGGAGGCTGTGCTGACACTCTTCCATCGTCCTAAAGCCTGGGTAGACAAATGCACTGGGGTGCCCACCATGGAGCAGCAGATAGCTCCTTGAGACCAGGGGGTGAACCTCACATCTCTCTGGGATCATCATGAACCCAGAGGGTGTCTCCCCAGTGCACAAACTCAGGGGGGACATGTGGGTGCTGGGTACCTAATTCCAGATATTCTATCTTCCCTTTCCCTCCCCCAGCCAGCCACAGGCAGCAAAAGATGTGCACCAAAGAGGAGGATCCAGTCTGGGAAGGGAAGTGGTGAGGGGTAAACCAATTCAAATGTCCACGTTTTAATATGACAGAGGGAAAGGGCTTGGGCTTGAGGGTCTAAAACACTTGGGTTCCTGTGAGCCCTGCAACTTATATTAGAGGCATCTCTGAGCCTCAGTTTGCTCATCTGTTAAGTGGGTATCTTCACTCTTCAGGATGCTGTCATGTGGGTCTCTCTAATAAGTCCCAGAGCTCTGGTCCAGAGAGCTGAGGGGAGGATAGTAGGAAAGGTTTGTCCATTGTGATTCAGGTAAGCAGGTACAATTTACAGAGAGTCCCTGGCACACTGTAAGTGCTCATTGTGGAGAGTACTTGACACATAGTAGGCATGCTTTATGCAAGGTACTTTGCACAGAGTAGGTTTTCTTTAGGTAGAACACACAGAAGTAACCTTTTATGTACAGCATATATCACACAGTAGGTGTGCATTATATAGAGTACTTGGCACACAGTAGATGCACTTTATGTAGGTCATGAGGCACATAGTAAGAATGTTCTATGTAGCACATCTGACACTCAGTAGACACGTTATGTATAAGGCACCTGGTACAGATAGGTCCACTTTATATCAAGTACTCTGCACAAAGCAAGTTACCTCTATGCAGAGCACCAAGAACACAGAAGGAAGATTTTCAATGGATTACCCAGTACACGGTAGGCATGCTATATGTAGAGGGCGTGACACATAGTAGACAGGACTTACGTAAGAGTACTGGAGAAAGGAGGACAGTAGGTGTGCTTTGAGTACTGTCTGACACACAGTAGGAATATTTTCCATACAGTCTTTTACACAGAGTAGATAGTCACACACAATAGCTCAAGGGCTAGTTGTCAGCCCCTTCCCTTTGCTTCCTTTTTGGGGTTCACTCTTTTTTTTTAAAGAAACAATGTATTTTATTTTTCTGACACCACAGCTTTTGAGAGTGGTTTTATACCCAATTTAATGGGAGTTACACAGAACTTTTTACACTTGGAAGGAGGAGGAAAGGGAAGGAACCACAAAATGTAAAACAAAAACAGAATTCTGGGTAGCTTTAACATCTCTTCCACTCCCACATGAATAGAATGCACATGAAAACTCTGAATAAAAGGAGAACAGAAAGCAAGGTGGGCAGGGAAAGGTGTGTTGGGGGAAGAAAAAGACTAAGGGAGGAAAAAGACCAGAAAGCATCCCAAGGACAAACCTTCCCCTCCCAGAACCAGTAGGTGACTCAGCATGGAAGATGAGGCTTTGCTAGGCTTATTTCCCCAAATAACATTGCATTATTGCAGCTCCCAAAGGAAAAAAGAAGGGAAGCAGAGTGTCACCAGCAGGGACGTACAAGGGAAGGAAACACATTCCCCAGGAGACTAGGCAAAATGGGAGACAGAAAACAAGAGGAAAAATGTGACGGTGTGTGGATATTTTGGAAGAGACAGAGAGTGCTGAAGAGGACTTGAACTACAAAACAGATGTCCTCAGCCCAAGGCAATTTACAGATTTAACGCAATACCCATTAAATTATCAGCAGCATTCTCCTCAGAACCGGAAATGACAATACAGGAATTCCTGTGGAAACATTAAATGACCTTGAATAGCCAAAACAATCATCAGCAAAACAAAACAAAGCAAAAAATCAAAGCGGGAGATATTACACTCCCAGACTTTAAACCTTATCACAAAGGTACAACAATCAAAGCAGCCTGGTATGGTACAAGAACACGTATATAGACCA